CAATTTTAATAATATATTTTAATGTGACTCGCTTGAACTAATTATAGTAGGTCAAATATAAAACAACGGTAAATCCGAAAATAATAAAAAAAATTATTTTCTACAGTATATTATATTATATTTGTTGTTCTACAGTATTAAATACTCGGTGGTTCCCGTAATAGTAGGCCTCTCATTTTGTTTCCGGTTTGTTCCTAGCAACATCAAATGTTTCTAGCAACAGTCAACCAGCATCAGTGGATAATATTTCGGCCGTTTCACTCCCCTCTTTATTTTTTATTATTTCTCCGCCTTATTTTAAATTTCGGATCTTTCTCGGTCGCCCTTCGGAGTATCATCGTGTAACATAAATTAATGTCAAAGATAACATAAATTATTGCGCCTGCGATAAGCTAATACTTTATACCGCTTTCAACATTCAAAATGGCGCCCGATAAAAATTGAAAACATTTACATGTAATTAAAAGGTTAGTATAAATTTACACAAATATTTCTGGCGTGCTCCCTTGATTTATCTACCTCGGATAATGCGTCATTCTGGTTGACCGAGCTATCAAAAGAGTCCCAAAATTCTTGCCACTCTTGAATTTTCCCATCAAATCTTTGCGCGAACAGTCTGTTTTGGTGTAGCGTTCATACTCAGATTCGATGGTGTACTTTGACCTTGGGGTAGTGACGGCAAGGCTTCGAACAATGCGTCATTCACGTCGAGAATTATTTTTTGTAATTCAGCTCGCGTATCATCTGTCTCCTGAATTTCCTTTTCCAGCTGTTGTTCTGCGTTTTCGGCTTCACTATTACTTAGTACCTCGACAATCTCGTTGTCTAAAAGTTTCAAGGCTTCGAGTTTCTCGCTCAGCGTGTCTCTCAGCTGTTTCAGCACATTCTTGTCCGTTTGAGGCGTTTCACTCGTATTCGCTAAACATTCTTTTATCTTCATTGCTATCTTCGTTGCTGAACCTCTGTGCGCTGCGCGTGTTCTTCTTTTCTTTGTCAGCTCGTCCAACGGCATTGTCGTATCTATCTATCTATCTCGATTCTTTCTTTCGAAATCTATCCGGCTCGCATGGACCAAGTGTTGCACTTTTCTGTCTTACACCGCAAGACAGTTGCGCTTCGTGGGGACTGTATACTATCAAAACAATACCATCGGAAATAGAACACACACGCGTACTTTAAAACATATTTATTTAAACTATTCAAACGATAAAATATATAACAAACAATCATTCTGGTTTTCTCTCGTGCTTTCAGTCTGACAATCAACTCGAAGTCTATTATTTATGACATACGATACATTTCTTACGTCAATCAACTAAATCACCCATTGTTTGGTCTCCTACGGCGTTATCTATAGTATAATGTTACAAATTATTCTACACGTACGACCATGTCAATACCAAGCCGAAAAACCATGTTTTAACAAAAAAGCCGACTTTCTGTTCGTAAAAATCATAAATTATATGATACTGTGTATCATTATAACTGTAAATTTTGTGGTAAAACAGCTATAGTTCATACATGAACTAGACATTATGTTGAAATATCAACAACACATTTTTGTCCATGCATGAAAAAAGTAAACTGAAAACTTTAATGCAATGTATATAAAGAAACGTTTTTGCCCGCTTTGAAAAGACACTTCTTATCGGATTTATAGAAAAGTGTTAGTAATATAAATAAATTATGCTGACAGGGTTAAAAATTCTGAAAACAACTATGTTCACCTAAAGTTTTTTAAGAATTTAATTTACTGAAAAACTGTGTTTCAATGTTGGCATTGACTTTTAGTTTGACCGCGATTTGTAGGCTTTTTATGTTTTTGTTAATGCCAAAATTTAAGCATAGCAAAAAAAGCCGGTAAAAGCCGGTCTTGGTATATATTGTGTACTAAAGCCAGAGAAACTCCACACATTTTTAAGCTGTCAAATTTGTCTATAAAGCCTATACCTAGTGTTCAGACAGCATTGATTTTAATCTCTGTTGTCGTGCGTAAAGTAATAAAATTTGATGCCCCTCACATTAAAATAATTGAAAAACTAACTTATTTTCTCAAATACGTCGGATGCTTCTTACATAAAAAGTTTATTAATAGCATAAAATAATGCTCCTTTTAAAAATTAATCAAAGAAATCTGACATTAAAAAAGGTCCTACGTCCATTTTTGCCCTGGCTTTCAAAGTCGCACAACAATCTTTTTTCCGCTGTGTTTTCGCTTTTCTTTTTGCTTTTCTCTCAAAACGCGCGCTAGTGCCAGTTCTCTGGCGCATCACACATACATCACGCGATAATAAGCGCGTTTCCACGCCCGTGTTTTATAGCGCCCTGATAAAAATAAAAGAAAAATACACGCTATAACACACGAAAGGTAGACGATTGTTCAATGTCAAAAGTCTGACGACTTACGTTTATAATGTCCCCAAAATTTAACAGGGAAATATAAAGCTTCTCTATAAAATATAGCTTGTCTCTATAAAATACAACGTTCCAAAAACGATATTCCCGTTGCTAAGGCAACCAAACCGCGCGAGTCCTGTCCTCCACCGTTCGTATATCGACGACAATTCCCGACAACCCGACTCACACCACGTAGTTCTCCGAGTCAACATCACAGAAGGTATTTAGGCGCTAGTTGCCAACCATCCACTCGCCTTTTTCTCATACCGTCGGCAGCCATATTTTCTCTCTTTGAAGCTTGAATTGCATTATGGTCTATGGCACTCATAGGCCATGGAAATAGATTTTTTTTTCAATTAATATAAAAATTATATGGCTGGTAGGCCACGGAATTGTTTAATTAATGTAAAAATTACATGTTACTGATACGCCATGTAACTATTCTTATTTTATGTTAATTTAAAAAATAGTTTCAAAATTGAAGTAATAATGATAATATTCCCACCGTGGCCAGGCATATTTTTTGAGCTTGCCCGATGTGGATATACACTCGCAATAACATCACAAACATCATATTCACCTAAGTACACAGTACCAACACAGAAAATATGAAATAAAGGAAAAATTAAAACATAAATAAATAAAATATATATAAAAAGTATAAAACAATTAAAAATAAACAAGAAAAACTGAAAAAGGTAAAGAAAAATGCATATCGCTCCCCTAGGCCACCACACACAGGCCCTTATTTCAAATTAAGCGTGGGCCGGTGGTTCATTTACAAAAGTTTAATTTAGAGTGGCCATAAGGAAGCCAAACTGTAAAGCGAGACTCAATTAATCTTCCAGTGATATTCTCACTATTACTGAGTGTATATAATTCTTGTATAAATCATGGACTCACTCCGCGGTTAGTAAAACGTGGACTTAGTCCATGTTTTAAAAATAACGGAATGAGTCCGTGTTTCAACAAATCACTGACTCAGTCCGCATTTTCCTGGTCCAGTCCTGTCTGTGTTTTACAACACGTCTTCGTTTTTGCGGAAACGCGAGAAATCCGTAGGGTGTTATAAGGATCTTTCCTCGGGCAATCGGAAGGCACCATTCACGTCACGAACCAGAATAAAATACTACCACTTTTTTTCAATAAAAATTGTTAATATCTTATTTTACATCCATTAGCATGTCAATAGTAATAAAAGGTACCGACTCACCAGGATTTTTGAGCCAGTGCAAAGAAGTGCACATTACCAGTAAGCTAGACAAAATTTTGAAGCAGTGCATTCATGTGTGAGACAACACTCAGATAGAAAACGTTATTTAAAAGGTTGTCACTAAACAGCAAGTGTTGATTAGTTCGTGGTGCTCAACAAAAATAAATTAAATTTTACATTACATTAATGACATTACACTAACCAAATAGAGTGCATGAGCATGTTTGGGCAATCGGGAAGCAAGCATCGCAATTCCTTTATTACAATAAATCTTCCATTCATTGTCATGACTTCATACCATACACTCAGCCTAGTTTTACTCTTTTAAAAAATTTATCCTCGGATTTAATCAGATAAATCATAAAAATTCTTTATGGAAAACACAGAACAAAATAACACATTTTCTATTTTTCGGACAATGTATTTAGATTTTATTTCTTTATGTTAAAAATATTTTTCAAACATTTTTAGCCAAATATGTCAGATGTACCATGGGAAAGCGAAGGGAAGCGAAACTACATCTGTATGCAGAATATTATCATTGATGTTGTCAGCGAAGGATTGAGGAACGTTTTTAAAAACGAATGGAACACTCGTTATCAGGCAAGCTTGGGAGCATGGGATGACACCAGTGTAAGTGGCCTGCAGTTGTTTCATCGAGAAAATACACGATCAAGACCAAACAAGAACATGTACCAAGCGAAATTTCAACAAGGAGATACAAATCAATGGGATTGCTCTGTGCTTTTTGACGCAATTCTGTACTCCAACTCGATTGGTAAATCAAGCCTTAATCCAACGATTAAGACTGAAGTGGATAATATTCGAAATATGCGAAATAAAATTATGCATGCTGATGACACAACTCTATCTGATGCTGACTTCCAAACCATGATCAGTGATGTCGAAAAGGCATTTAAATCCCTTAGTCTTCCAGTTCGTGATATTACGCAAATGAAAATTAAGAGAAACCTTTACAAATCATTTCATGTTTTACCCCCAAAGCCAAGCCACGAAGTTGTTTACCGTTCTGAGAAGATCAAGGAAATACAACAAAAACTGCAGAGGTTGCGCATTGATAGCGACGGCAAACTAACATATTTCTACATTTCCGGAAATCCCGGAAGTGGAAAATCGCAGCTATCCCGGCAACTTGGCGAGGATTTGCTTAAAAGCGCGAATTGGGAAGCAGAAGCAACATTTGTAATGACATTGAAAGCAAAAGATTTAGACGCTCTTCAGCACTCATATGAAGATTTTTGCAGACGTCTAAATTGTTCTGAGAGTTCTTTAATAACTGTAATGAATTCATGCAATCCACAAGTTGAAAAGATCAAAGATTTAAGATCACTGATTGAAAGCAGAATCAAGAATTGGAAAAGGTGGTGGATTATAGTAGATAATGTGGAAATTCTCGAGGATATTTCACCCTTACTACCTCAAATGGGCGACGAAGTTTGGAATAATGGTCAAATTATAATAACAATTCAGAATACAAATGAAGTCCCTTCTGATAATCTGCGAAATCAACGTATTTCACTTAGTCGTGGCATGAAGGACGAAGAATGTCGTCAGTTACTTTCCATATTATCAGGAACTGATGTTAATGATCCATTACTTGATGAAGTTGCTGAGAAGTTAGATTTCCAACCGTTGGCTATAGCTGCCGCAGCTGTATAGTTCAAGAAAATCATCGAGACAAAATGTTTTCCAAAGTTTTCGTGGCAAGATTACTTAGAGAAGTTAAAAAGTAAAAGAGAAGCCACAGAAGAACAGCTTCGTAAAACCAGTTCAGCCTATACATCCACCATGTCTGCGGCGGTCTCGCTAGCTGTTGAAACATCTGCGGAAAACAATTTCATTTTAAATCACACATTCAATCTTTTTTCTCTGATCTCATTTGAACCGCTACCTGTTGATATTATTGTCAAATACATTCAGGAACTTGATCAAAACTGTGATAAAGAGGAAATTACTTTGGCCTTGAAAGATTGTTCGCTTTTCCTTCTTAATGAAACTGAAGATTGCGATGTCTGGTTACATCGTGTTGTCCATGAAGCAATTAAATTATTTAGTGATTGCAAAGAAACAGAAAATAAAGACTATCATCCGAGTGGCATTGCCAGTAAAAGAACGAAAGTTGACTTTGCCAGTAGATTTAAAAATGTCGTTCAACATGTTGTAAGAGCATTTCATTTCAAAGGCAGGGATGACAAAATTAAAAAAGTTGAGGTTGCCAGAAGAGCTCAAAATGTTCTAAAAGCACTTTTTCGTTTCGCATACAGGGACAATAAAATCAAAATCATTCCACATTTGAAAGAATTTAATACAGCAGTTGAAAAACTACTTCCTGAACAAGACTCGCTATATTCACTCAGCTTAGCCTTTGAAAAACTTGACATTTATGAAATATACCTGTTTTTTGGGAAAACTTTAAATGCCTACTGCGAATATAAACTCGCTCTCAAATTTCATGAAACAAATCTTGAGATCTGGAGAGATTCAGAAAACCACATTTACAGGGCTCGCATATTTAACGAACTTGGCCTTTCATACGCAAGAATGGGCCATTTCGACCAGGCTAAGGATTATTACCAACGAGCACTGGAAATTGAAGAGAAACAGCTAGGTCCAGACCATGTTGATCTTGCAAAATTTTATAATAACATTGGTGGAGTGTATTGTACAAAAGGTGACCTGAACCAGGCTAAGGATTATTACCAACGAGCACTGGAAATTAAAGATAAACAGCTAGGTCCAAACCATGTTGATGTTGCGGTTAATTATAATAACATTGGTTCAGTGTATTACAAAAAAGGTGACCTGGACCAGGCTAAGGATTATTACCAACGAGCACTGGAAATTCGAGCGACACAGCTATGTCCAAACTATGTTGATGTTGCAGTTTCTTATAACAACATTGGCTTAGTGTATTCTGATAAAGGTGACCTGGACCAGGCTAAGGATTATTACCAACGAGCACTGGAAATTCAAGAGAAACAGCTAGGTCCAAACCATGTTGATGTTGCATTTTCTTATAATAACATTGGTGGAGTGTATTTTAAAAAAGGAGACCTGGACCAGGCTAAGGATTATTACCAACGAGCACTGGAAATTGAAGAGAAACAGCTAGGTCCAAACCACGTTGATGTTGCAGTTTCTTCTAACAACCTTGGCCTAGTGTATTATAATAAAGGTGACCTGGACCAGGCTAAGGATTATTACCAACGAGCACTGGAAATTCAAGAGAAACAGCTAGGTCGAAACCATGTTGATGTTGCAGTTTCTTATAACAACCTTGGCCTAGTGTATTATAAAAAAGGTGACCTGGACCAGGCTAAGGATTATTACCAACAAGCACTGGAAATTAAAGACAAACAGCTAAGTCCAAACCATATTGATGTTGCAGTTTCTTATAATAACATTGGTGGAGTGTATTATAATAAAGGTGACCTGGACCAGGCTAAGGATTATTACCAACGAGCACTGCAAATTCAAGAGAAACAGCTAGGTCCAAACCATGTTGGTGTTGCAGTTTCTTATAACAACCTTGGCCTAGTGTATCATAAAAAAGGTGACCTGGACCAGGCTAAGGTTTATTACCAACAAGCACTGGAAATTAAAGAGAAACTGCTAGGTCCAAACCATGTTGATGTTG